TGTCCCCTTGGTCACTTAGAGTCTCTTGATATTGTTAGGTCAGAGGTCAAGAAAGGACAGTCTTCCAAGAATGAAAGATACCAAGTGAAATTAGGACTCCAGAGGGACAACTGGATTCAACAATAAGGAGATTTCAGGAGTCCTTGGAGAGTGCTGCAGTCCACCAGAAATAAAGCCTGTGCTGATAGCCAGAGTACACTTGGTGCTTACCTTGAGCTATTCTGAGCAGTTTATACAATTAACTCACTTAATATTCACAACAACTCTATGAGATAGGTATGATCATGCCTATTTCACCACAGAAATTCAGTGGCTCACTCAATGTCATGATGTTTGGTAACCTTGGTGACCATGGTGAAACCTGGCTGCAGACACTGTGGTGTTCTGTGCTATGGCATACATCCAACTCAGCTGTGAGGAAGGGGGTGTGCTGGTGGGCAGGAACCTAGGAAGGAGACAGACTGAAGGAAGACAAGCAGGGTGGGGCAAAGTGATTTACAGGTTAAATGGTTCTCTCTCCTGGACCATAAACCAGAGGAAGGGGACCTGGGCAGTGGGAAGGGAGATAAGTGACTCAGGAGGGAGGGGCAGGGTAGGTCTGGAGACAGCCCCTTCCTGGGGCAGAGGCTTCAGGTCATGCACCTTCATCCTAGTTCTGTGGGAAATTCACAGACCAGAGTGCAGAAGTGTGAGGGCCAAGGATGGGGGCAGGTGTTGTCTTGGGGAAAGCTGTCAGGGAGACCCAATACTTGGCCTCCCAAGTATTAGAACTTCTTTGAGTGGTAAGCAGTCCATAATGCTTGCTTTCTTATGTGACTTCTCTTTCTTTTCTTTTCCCTTCCTTCCTTCCTTCCTTCCTTCCTTCCTTCCTTTTTTTTTTTAATGCTGGATGGAGATCAACCCACAGCCTGGCACAGGCTAGGCAAGCACTCTACAACTGAGCTCTATCCCTATATCCCTAGCCTATGGGGAAGCCACAGATCAGGGCTTGGGAATGGGGTCTGTGGCCGTGATGGATGAGATCCTGGTCTTTCATCTGGAACTGTTTTTTACTCAGTGACTTCTCACCTAGCACCTGGAGGGAAGGCACAACTCCAGTCAGACTATGAGCAGGTTTTCAGACCTTGGCTCACCTGAGAAATCTCACCAAAAAAAAGGGGAAGGGCTGGGAATTAGCTCTGTTGGTTGATTGCTTACTTCACATGCAGAAGGCCCTAGGTTCAAGCCCTAGCAACACACACACACACACACACACACACACACACACACACACACACACGGCAGGGGAGGGTGGGAATGGTGAAACCAGTTGACTTTCATGTTAAAATGGAGAAGGAGGAAGATGTTATCAAAAGCTTTGGCTTTGTCCCTGATGCCAATCCAATAAATAGGACATGGTTTTGAGAAAAAGGAAGCAGTTTTACTGCTTTGCTAGCAAAGGAAAAGCACAGAGGAGTCCTCTCCCAGAGGATATGATTCTGCCCATTAAGGGGTAAAGGGGGGTTTTATTTTTTATTATTTATTTATTTATTTTGGTACAAGGGATTGAACCCAGGGGTGCTTAACCACTGAGCTACATCCCCAGCCCTTTTTATTTTTTGAGACAGGGTTTCACTGTTGCTGAGGCTGGCTTTTAACTTGTGATCCTCCTGTCTCAGCCTCCCCAGCCACTGGAATTACAGATCAGTGTCACTGCCTGTGAATAGGGAGTTTTTAAA